TCTAGTAGGATATACTTTTTTTTTATTATTGTTTCGTTTTCTTTTATTAGATCACGAAAATGTTAAGTGCTCCCCTCAGAACAACAACAAAGAGAACCTCGTTTACAGTAACGATAAAGATTTTGGGGTAAACCTTGATACAAGTTAATGAGGAAACAGTTCCCAAGACGAACGCACTCTTTGCGTTTACAACCCAATACTTCTACATTCTACAAATGCTATTAAAAAATCACGGATTTATTTAATAGATTAATTAAATAAAATATGAATACACTTATTTATTTAAAAAAATCCTATTTAAATTAGAACAAATTTACATTTATTCTTATCCATTTTCAACATAGTTATGTAAAACATGTTAGAAAATATATACAAATAATTCAAATTCTTCCTAACTTTTGTAAAAAATTATTGAATATATATAAATATTGTACTTAATAAATGATTTGTATCTGATTCTAAATAAAACTAAAAAGAACATATTAATTAACTAAAACTTAATACATCTCGAATATTTTTTAATTTTCTTTAAATCTGTACAAAATTCTTATATTATTGTTACATAAAATTTTCATAATATTACATTTTTTTAATTTCATCCACTGAAATATTAGGTCTAATTGCTTCTAAATCAACAAAAACATTTGTAACGTCTGGTTACACAAAGTAATTTAATACTTTGACTAACTAATATTTGAAGTTAAATTTACTTTGAAACCAATTTACATACTTGATTTCCATCTCATTGTTGCTTCTTTTATTAATTCGTATTCATTTATTTCTTATAAAATTAAAGAAAAATAATTAGTTCAAAAGTTTGATAAAATTAATGAAATTGAAAAAATTTTGATTATATTTTCGAATGTTTGAAATTTACTGCATTATTTAAATGTTTGAAATTTACCACATTTTTTAAATGTTACAAATTTACGATATTTTTTATAATGTTTTAAACTTACGGTATACTTTGAATGTTATTAGTTTACGAAATACAAAATTTTAAGGTTTTTATAAAATAAATTGAATTTTTTGGTACTTTGATATTTGAAATTTATTTGTATTTTTTTAAAAAATTTGATAAAATTAATGAAATTAAATAATTACGTAAATTTACAGATTTTTTTTTGTTGTTGAAATTTACAGTAGATTTTCAATGATTTACGGTATATTTTGAATTATTGAAGTTTAAGGTATTTTTTGAATTGTTGAATTTTACGGTAATTTTTCAATATTTGAAATTTAGGGTAGATTTTCAATAATCACAATTTACGCTAATTTCCGAATTATTCAAATTGACGGTATATTCTGAATTATTGATATTTCTGTGAAAAATGAGATTATATTACATCTTTTCTTCAATATTTTTCATAAGTCTATTAGTTTTTTCTGTAAATTTATTCTATTTGAGATTATTTCAGACTAGACTTTTGTACTTAATATTTTGAAAGGAAATTATTCGAACGATATTCAAATTCAGTTCATTCTAATGCATTTTGAGCAGTGGATTAAATTAAATCTTAAGGTGATACTGGAAGGGATTGGGAGAAGTGGGGATATCTTGTTACAGTTGTTAACAGAAGACCAAGATTTGTGCGTGCATTACTTTAATGCCATCCGGATCCCTCGTAAATTCGTAGGCCGTGCTTCGCTCGGAACTGTGGCATAACTAATTAGAACATATTTGAGCATCGAAGTGGTCCATAGGAAATTTGCTTGTATTAGGGGTTTGTTTGGGGCGGACACGTGCGGCATACCAACGTGAGGGGTGGCGGTAGAGGCACGACGCTCCCTGAATCTATTAGTCAAAGCAAAGGAGTCCTCCCAACAACCGCCGCCGCGACGCTATTACTCCATCCAAGAGACGTCTCTTCCGGTGGATGCATGCAGAGGAACGTCTTTATTTAAAGCACACCTACATACATACGCATATAGACACATATACACATAGAAATACTCTTGGGAACAGTGGGAGAAAGGAGACAGTAATGCCGTTCCCGCAGTTAAACGTCCTTGGGGGATGCGCCGGGTGCAAAATAACTCCGCCAAGATAAACTCTCACCAAATTAAATAATTGCTCGACGGATTAAGGGAAGACGACGAGTTTGTCTACTGTACATTTGCTTTTGGGCCTCTTCACTCCTCAGCTCTACCCTACACCGAACCATCTCCTTCCCCCTTCGGTGCTGTCATTTCATCACCCAAAAACCAGACAGCTTTGCCGTTCCGCAGCTCGCATCAAATTAACAAACCAGGAAATCAAACACATCACCACTCTCTTCCTATTTCTATCTCTCTCTCTCTTACTCGCTCGCAGCATCTGAGACTACTTTACAACATAAATACTTGCAGAACTTCGAAACCCTTGCAGCGTACTTATTCTTATTTCACTCAGACCGAGCAACTGTGTACTTTAATATACATGTAAAGTTTATGAAAACGTACATATTTATTTTATCACATCAAAACTTATCTTTCACTAATTACACTATATACATTAATAAAGTAATAAGTATAGTTTTCTTAAGAATAAGTTTACAATTCTATACAAAAAAATTTAAACAAAAATGCAATTTTTATAATAATGAAAAAAAAAAACAGAATAATGGAAAATTTTAATGAAAAGTTTATTCTTGATAATACATAACTTTATTAAATCTAATAAATAAAGAACTTTTATTTTCATATAAAAAAATGAACATATAAAACATACAATACAATATTTATAAATTATTTTCGCTTAAATATAGTGAAATTTAGTGAAAATGAAGTATGTAATTAGTATTTTAAGCGTTGCAAAAGATTAATTGAAAATAAATATAAAATTATCATAAATAAACATGTTTTTGGTATAAAACTCTTGACTTCTTCTTGATGAAAAATTATATAAGCAAATAAACTAATAAAAAGAAAGAAATACAATATTAACTTAAATTACATAAACTTTATGTAACAATGAGAACTAGATAAAATAAACTGTAAAATACCAAATTTCAAAATTCAAACTTTATAATTGTGAATTTCTTCAAGAATCTATAGACTAGATGTGGTTTATCAAGAAAATCTAACATTTATATATTACAACAAAGTTGATTACTACATAAGTAAACTTTAAGAGAATATAAGATTTGAATAAATGATTTGAATTAGTTGCATTTTTATACGAATTCTGTTCATTCAAGATTAATCTATGAAATGAGTGTATTCATAAAGGCTGATATTTAAATGCGTTTAATTGAAATTCCAATACGAGTATGCAATTAAATTTTATAGAAATGTAGTGAAACTAATTAATTCCAATACGATTTGTATATTACCATACCAAATATATAGACAAATAAAAAATTACAAATTAATTATTATTGATTTTATTATTTACGTTTTGAGTAATGTATTAAGAAAATGAACTAGTTACGCCTATATTTGTAGAATTCATTTTCAGTAATATTATATTTAAAAAACATAACTTTGTGGACGAGCGGCGGATATATCTGCCCTATCCATTATACAAAAAAACTTCGCTTATGCAAAATTACATTAAAATGGTTAAAAAATTACAATGGACATATCTTTTGTGAATGAAATTTGTTCCAATTTACTAATAAAAAAACAGTCTTTAGTAGCGTGAATCGTTGCTAAATAATGTTGATTAGTTAAATTGTGAATGAATAATAGAAAATGTTCTATTCTTAAATACATATTAACGTAAAATGTTAACGTAATTTGAATGGTCAAACTGTAAAATTTCGATTGTAATGGACATATTTTACGTTTTATGTGTGTGAATGAAATTAGTTGCGATTTGCTTGTAAAAAAACAATGGTTTTTTTCGTAACGTGAGGCGTCGGTAAATCACATCAATTCTGCGGAGACTCGCGCAACACTATAATCTGCAATTCATCGTGCATTTTACTTTTACGAGCGAAAGACATATTTCTCCATGCAAATTTATTACTCGCATTGATAAATGAGCGCTGTATGTTAACGAGCAGTCTAAGAAAATGCTTTATAGCTTGTTCACTGTCCAACAATTTTTACTTATTCCTTTTTTATTTTCTATTTCTTTTGTTTCTTATAAAGCGCATAGACATTATATGAGTGCAAATGAAATTATATAAATTTCGTAAATTTTTTGATTATAAACTAATTTTTTTTGTATTTCTTTCGTTTTTTTGTAATGCGATATGAGTGCAAATGAAATTATATAAATTTTGCTTCAAATCTTATTAATTAGTTATCATTTAATTCACAGTTTTACAAATGAAAATTTTTATAAATCTAAACTAAAGTAAATTTATTTCAATTTAAAATTAAGTTAATTGAAGATTAGTTAAATTTTAACTAAATACCGCTTCTGTATGATCGATGCAAGAGCTTAATTGTAAATGATCATAGGAAAAGATGAAGATAAATGAAGTTTCCTCTTCCTGTCGGCATCCGAATGCAGAATTAAAATAATTCGGCGTTTTAGAGGGAATAATTAAAATTTGATTTGATTATGCTGGAGAGCCTTAAAACGCAGGAAAAGGGAAATCTAGTTGTTGTTTTTTTTCTTCTCTCCAACCCCCTTTTATAATTAATTAGAATTTCAGTGTGTTTTTGCTCTAATTAAGACACAGACGGAGAAGCGGCGCAGGATGCAACGGGCGGAAGACCGGGCAAAATTTCGCCCGCTGCTGGAAGCGAATTTGAAATTATCGCCCGGTTTTATTAGGGCATTAACACTTCTTAGAAAGTTAATTACGCGCCGGGGCTCTAATGATCTCGTGGATGCTGCGGATTAAAATCTGCACGGACTTGAAAATAATCCGAATCGTTAGAAGCCGCGGCACGAAACTTCTTCCTACATCTCCTTCATATTTCACTGTGTGTGTGTGTGTGTTTATATATCTTTTTTATAAATATATAATTTGTATTTTCGTGCTCATCTTCAACATCCTGCGCGTCTCTCGTTTCCTGGGATTACTCGTATTATAATCACCACTTTTTGTTCTCTTTTGCAGGTTTGCTTAATGTCGGAAACAGCGTGAAGATAAACAGGCTGCAAGTGCCGGAAGTGATACGGCATGGCGCTCCGGTTGTTTTAGATTGCGATTTTACGCTCGAAGCGACCGACAGCGACTTGGTGGTCAAGTGGTTCTTCAACAAGAATAAAACTTTGGTCTACCAATGGATTCCTGGTAACTATTTTCATTTTACTAATTTTTATCTCAATCATTAGTTAATTAAATTACTTGTATATAATACAGAAACACAAAAGAAGAGAAAAATAATCAAAATATGGAATTTTATAATTCAGAAACAATAAAACAGCAAAAAATAAAATGCAACTGAAATGAAAATGTGGAATTATATAATTCATGAAAAAATTATTTATCATTATATTAATATCTCGCATAGCGGATTGTTTGAAACCGGACTAATCGAGGACTTTGTTAATTAAAATACATGTATGTAAAAAATATAGATCTATACTTTTTACCTCAACCTGTTTACATGTCTTTAATCATTCGTTAAATTTAAATACTTGCGTTACAGAAACACCACAATATTGACTTTAATTACAAAAATTTAAAAAAAACAATCAAAAATGAAATTACATAATTCTTAAAATAAATAACTTATAATTAGAGCAATTCTTCGCATAGCGGACTGTTTGAAACCGGACTAATCGAGGACTTTAAATAATGTATTAAAAATAATTTTGAGTACTATTTTTTTTAGAATTTATTTTTATTTTTCTCCATTAAAATTTTACTTGTTTTGAAATTTTTCATCTGGACCAACTGAAATTGCACTATTCAAGCTCTTCATGTACTTGCCTTAGAGAAATATTGACTTTAACTTATATTTTTCATTACAACACAAAAAATCACAATCAAAATATTAAATGAATTATATATACTTATATATACATACATTATTTTCCAATTACAGCAATACCGGATTATTTGAAACCGCAATAATGAAGTATTTTAAAAGCGCACAAAAGACTATTATTGTATTAACAATTTTGTGTACCATTTTTTTAATTTTTTTATATAGTGAATCCGTACTGTACAAAAACGCACTGTGCGAGGTATGACTGTACATGTATTTGTTACTTGCGTTACAGAAACACTAAAAAAATGAATTCAACTTATTTTTCTTTACAAAATAAAAAAAAACAATCAAAATGTGGAGTTATTTATATTATTTATGGAAAATAATTTACAGTAATATCTCGGATACCGGACTGTTCGAAACCGGTCTAATCGAGGACTTTAAATTGGGACAAATGATTAATGATTATGTATTAACAAATAATGTTGGGTTTGCATCCGCACTGTGCGAGGTATGGCTGTACATGTATTTGATACTTGCGTTACAGAAATACCAAAAAATTGAATTCAACTTATTTTTCTTTACAAAATAAAAAAAATCATTCAAAATGTAGAATTATATGAAACTCATGAAAAAATAATGTACAATTACAGTAATATCTCGCATACCGGATTGTCTGAAACCCAACTAATCTAAAACTTTAAATATAGACAAATTTGGGTAGTGATTTTTTAGAATTTATTTTTCTCAGTTAAAATTTAGTTTGTTTTGAAATTCTCACACCGGACTGTTCGAAGCAGCACTATGCAAGGTATTCCTGTACATTTATTTAATATTTGCGTTACAGATACACCAAAAACCACTGATTTTCACTTATTTTTTATTAAAAGTCCTACAAAATATAAAATTATATAATTCTATTGTTGTAGTTGTATTTATTACTTGCGTTACAGAAACAACAAAACATTGAATTTAACTTATTTATCACTACCAATTAATAAAAAATCAATTTAAAGGTTGAATTATATAATTCATGGATAAATTAATTTCCAATTATAACAATTTATCGCATGCCGCAACAGGACTAATCGAGGATATATTAAAAATAAAATTTACAGCAAAAAAAACAAATAAGATAATGTAAGTAAATTGTCAAAACTATTATATATGAAATATCACTAATATATAAGAACATACTGCAATTTACTTATTATAACTAAACTTTAAATTAAACTTTTCTTCAACAATATTTATGTGCCAATCGTTGCTATTGCGATGTCCATAGAAATTATATCAACCTTCATTTTTTTGTTTTCATGTAAAACAATTGAAATTTGCAACAAAATATATACGAATTTAAATTGTCTTTTTACTCAACACATATAAATATAACGAATTTCCTTCTTTTTTATATATATATTTCTCTAGGAAAAAGTGATTTTTATTTAGGGATATTTTATGTGCGATCCCCTACGCCCCATTTCCTTATAAGATTACAAGCTTGACCCTCGTTCCTCTCATTTGTTGGGATCCCCAGGGAGACATCAATATCTTCAATAAATTCTTCAAGGCACGACGTTTTTTTTTTTTACTACTATCATAACATAAATCTTCTGATTACCAATGGCCATCACCCTGCATCACATTAATATTATATTCAACCATCAAATGTATTCCATCAATTTCACAAGAAAAAAAATGTGTTCGATGAAATAAAATAGTTCCCACCTTTACAAATTACTTCATTTCAATCTTATTATAATACAATATATCAGCAATATTAAGTCGCAATATTTTTTGATTGAAAAGTCACAAAATGACAGCTGTCACCTTGTGTCATAGCGAGAAACTGATGCATATACAAGTACAGTGGAACCTCGTTTAACGACTTTAATTCCTTCGAAAATGTCCGGAATTTTTACTCCTATAGTGAAACAAATTCGTAAATACACATATAATATGATGTAGAAAGCGCGCAATCCGGGACTTCTCTTCCCATCCTCACTCGTTATGCGAAACGTCGCTCGTTAAGCGAATCATTTTTCTTGCAATTTATTTTGCTCGTTAAGCGAGGTTTCACCGTATAATGAAATATGTTGGTTCACGCAAAAATACATAATACTACTATAAATTATATAATATTCTACATAAAATGGAATTAATTAAAGAAAGAACGAAAGAAAACAATACTTTGCATAACTAGTTTTATTTTTATGTAAAGATGAAAGAATGAAATAATTCATTGATAAAGTTTGAAAAGAGCTATAAAGTTTTTCAGAGACAAAAGGATGTATTTTCAAGAAAAAGTTTTGTTTAGATATTCTTGAATATTATAAGAAAATTTATTTTGAAAGATTTAGTATTTATTTGTCGATTTTCTGTATTTTTTTTCATTTAATCTATTAAATTACAGTTTGTTTCCATAAATTTATAAACAAAGTTTTTATATAAAAAAATAATGTTTATTAAATTACTAATGGGTTGAAATAAATACCATTAATTTGAGCAAAACTTGTAAATAATAGTTAAATGATATTATAAAAGTTTTGTTATATTTTTTGTAATAAACTATGTTGAGAGAAGACTGAAAACCAAAATCGTATTATTTCCTTGTTGTGAATAACTTGAATGGAAGATCGAATGCAATTAAATATGAAATGAGTAGAAATCGTCGTCATTTGAGCGAATTCAGCAAAATTGGATGGAAACAAGAGAAAAGAATTTCAATCAATTGGAATCTTCGATAACTTTATAAATACTCGAACGACGATTCCAAAGAAATTAAATTATTTTCCAGCGAAGTTCGCAACAACTTCTTTGCACTGGAAAACTGACTGCAATAAATATTCTAACAAAAGTACGAAGAGAGAGAGAGAAAGCGGACCAACAAAATAGCCGGAACGACAGTAATTGCGGAGAAATTTTCCGGAAACATTTCGCTCCCCCTTAAATAGTGTCTTTATATTAGTGTGTGTGTGTTCCATTTATAATATACGACGTACGATGTTTTAGTTAAGTTTCTGGCAAACAAAGTTTTCACTGTACTTTACTTCCGATATTATATAAACTGTGTCTTCAGCAAAAATGTATGATTCATTCTGTCTACTTATTTATACATGACGATAACTTTTACAGAAAGAAAAAAAAAAGAAAAAAAAACTTTTGGATTTTTAATTAGTGTTATTAAAATTGATAAGAATATGTGCTGTGATATTAAAATAACAAAAATATGTTATAATTATTAAGTTTTCAATAAAAAATTAAGAATTAATTAATCACATTGAATTATGTATACATTTTTATTGATTTGTTTATTTTTGTAAGAATAAATATTTCTGCAACGTAAGCATTAAATACATGATATACCTCGTATAGTCCGGATTCAATATAAAATAAAATTGAATCAAGCTGAATTTTAATTGGAAAAAAATGGTTTGGATTTTTAATTAGTGTTATTAAAATTGTTAAGAATATGTGCTGTGATATTAAAATAACAAAATATGTTATAATTATTAAGTTTTTAATAAAAAATTAAGAATTAATTAATCACTTTGAATTATGTATACATTTTATTGATTTGTTTATTTTTGTAAAAATAAATATTTCTGTAACGTAAGCATTAAATACATGTATAGATATACCTCGTATAGTCCGGATTCAATATAAAATAAAATAAAATTGAATCAAGCTGAATTTTAATTGGAAAAAATAGGTTTTCTGGGAACGCTGTATGGTTGCTATGGCTGTGATAGAGTTGCTATGGACGCCATGTAGTTGCTAAAGACGCTATATGGCTGCTATGGACTTTGATTTGCTGCTACCAAAAATGATGTTTGCTTTTCATAATTCTGATCTTGTTAAGGAATAATTTGATGTTATTAGAAAGTAAATTAATATTGCTTTAATTAAGGGTAACTGATGGAATTAGAAATGTTGTTAGTTGAAGTGATCAAATTAGAATTCTTGATGGTATAATCGATGGAATCAAGCTGAATTTTAATTGGAAAAAATAGGTTTTCTGGGAACGCTATATGGTTGCTATGGCTGTCATATAGTTGCTATGGACGCCATGTAGTTACTAAAGACGCTATATGGTTGCTATGGACTTTGATTTGCTGCTACCAAAAATGATGTTTGCTTTTCATAATTCTGATCTTATTAAGGAATAATTTGATGTTATTAGAAAGTAAATTAATATTGCTTTAATTAAGGGTAACAAATGGAATTAGAAATGTTGTTAGTTGAAGTGATCAAATTAGAATTCTTGATGATATAATCGATGGGATCCGGCTCGACAACGAGGTCGCGACAGTGGATGTAACTGATAATAATTGGATTTTGGATGGGTGATGGTTTAGTGATCGTCGAGATAAATCTAATTTGACTGTGTTTGTTTTTGTAGGCTCAAGCACTAGACCCCAGGTTTCCGGTATTCTGAAGGGCCGTCTGAACCTGGAATACGCGGCCAGCGTCGACGGGAACAGCGTCCACAGGGCGTTGCACATCCTGAAGCCGGGCCCGGATCTTTCCGGTGACTACACTTGCTCGGTGTCCACATTCCAGAGCGAGGATATCCGGACCAAAAGCATGCTAGTTTTCGGTAAGCAATCCAAACACATTCACATACATGGAACATGTATGTACATACCAACCAACACTCGCACGAAACAAAATCCTGCTACGGCCCAAATGGCCAGGACAATGGATCGTCCACACCCGACATACCCCCCTCAGTCCGCCCGATATTTTATGATTCAGTTAATTTCGTCCGCTTCGCTTCCCGATTCCGGCATTTAAATGAACCAACGAGCACAGAATTGCCCACATTCAATCGACACGCCGACTGTAATCAACATAGGAAATGTGCATAGCTATTCTGCTACAACGAGTCTGCTACTGCAACTATCAATTACACCAGTGTATTCCAATTCAATGGCATATTTTAAACATTTACACATTTCTCCACTGCCGCCATCTGTTTAAATATAGTGAACTACTTTTTTTCTCTTTAGTGAAGAATTTTTTATTTAATTAATTTAAAAACAAAATCGAAGAAGAATTATTCAAAATTTACAAAAAGTATATTCATATATTATTTTATATTAAAACAAATAAAAAATAACATAACTTAAAAAAAATGCCATCTTTTGATATATTTTATCATTAGCAAAAATATGTCAATTGTCAAAGAAATTAATGTTTACTAGTGCTGCCATCTATCTTCATACTGCGAACTACAATTTTCTTATATTTATTTGGAAAATGTAGAATTCATTACAAATAAAACCTAATACAATTACTTTTTTTTCTATTTTCACTTCTAATTTTCTATAGTCTTCAAATTACATTAAACAATTAAAGCAAGTAAAGTATAACTACAATAAATTTGTCAAAACTTCAATAATGGATGTACAGGGTGGCCCAATTGAACTTTATAGAACCAAAAGAATTTTCGATATGCCCGCTTTATAAATAATCATTAAAATAATTGTAAACTAAATGAATAAAATGAATAAAAAATGCCATCTTTTGATATATTTTATCTTTATAAAAATATATCAATTGTCAAAAAAAAATCATTTGTACTCGTACTGCCATCTATCTGAATACTGCGAACTACAATTACTTTTTTCAATCTTCATTTCTAATTTTCTATCATCTTCAAATTACATTAAACAATTAAAGCAAGAAAAGTATAACTACGATAAATTTGTCAAAACTTCAATAATGGATGTACAGGGTGGCCCAATTGAACTGCAGCTTTTCAGAACGCTGTATTTTTTTTATTTTAAATTAAACTTTATAGAACCAAGAGAATTTTCGATATGACCGCTTTATAAATAATCATGAAAATAACTGGAAACTAAATGATGATGATAATTGAATAAAAGATGCCAACTTTTGATATATTTTATAATTGAAAAAATATGTGAATAAACAAAGAATTATTATTTTACTAGTATTGCCATCTATCTAAATTTTGAGAA